ACTAATTCACACAGAGACCGAATTGTTTGGAGTTTTTCATTAGCCAGCGGCTATGAGTGGGCTCCTGCCCTGAACAGACTCGCAGCCCCGAGCAGTCTTTGCAGGGAGAATATAAGGGCAAAACCCACATTCTCGGTTGGGGGAGCAGGCGCGGCAGCGACCCGACAGGCAGAAGCTGAGACCCGCGTTAGTCGACCTCCTTCGGTCAGCTGGCCTCTGGAGTTCTGCGGGCTGTGGGGAAGAGGCCGTTGTTTCTACATAATAAATGTTGTTGCTCTTGCTTATCCTAAAGTAGCGGCGGTCAAGGCCGAAATGGGAGTGCTAGGCTTCATTCCCCTCCTGTTTGTAAAAGGTGATGAGAATGAAGGGTACAGACTGATGCTCAGTTCTGAGGACCATGAGCTTGACAGAGTTAATTCTGTCCCTAAGGAGGATGCCGGGCGGTTAAGGAGACAGGGGCCTATGACAAGGGCGAGCCTAAGGAAGGGCGGGGGTGCCTCTGCGGAGGCTGCATTCGGAGCCCCATACTGAGCAAAGGGAAGAGGGTGGCACCCTGACACAGCCCTTCCCTTCAGCTGCCCCTTCCCTGTGGTCTAAGGGAGAAATGGGACATAAATCCTTGTTGCAACAAGAGGGCAGCTGCTTTGGCCAGGTCTGTCTGCGACCTGGGTTCCGATTTGAGCCGGGCGTGGGAAGCGAGGCAGCCGTGGGGGCAGGAGACCTCCCTCTGAAGGGGTGAGGTTTCAGGCCCCTGCAAAGTTGGGGGGTGAGGGTCTGTGCCCCACCTCTGTTGGCCCCTCTGTGACTGCCTGTCTTAGGTTGTTCCTTCCCTGAGGAATCCTACCCGTCTCTGGCTGACCAGCCATCCTCCAGGGCCAAGCAGGGTGATGTGAGGTGTGCGAGTGAGGGAGGGGCACGTCCTCCGTGAGAGGTTCAGCTCTGTCTCCTGAGTAGCCTATGCCCCCGTGGCCTCCACGCCCAGCACCTGCCTTGGGATCCCCTAGCCCGCTGTTGAGGCCCCGGCTCTGGTCACATGTCTTGGGGAACCCAGGTCTCTTCTCCAGGGAGGGCCTAGCTCACACTACTGGGCGAGAGACAGATCCATGGCACCGGCCACTACGAGGCCTCAACCTTAGCATGAGCAGAAAGCCCAGGATGTCAGGCTCTTGGTACAAGACAATTCTATGTATGGGGCATATATAAGACACCCCAGTCATGGTAGAAAACAGGGGGGTGTCCTCCCTGGAACAATAGGGAGATTTTGGCCGGGTTTAGGTTCTTTTGGATGGTGAGGAGAGTCCCAGTATCATAATTAGATAGACCTGGATTCCCTGGCCTGTAAGCCAAGAGGAGTGGCTTCTATCCCTGGGTTGGAGGGAAAGAGGGTTACACTGTCCTGTTGTGCAGGTGGTGGGTCCTGCTGTCCTCTAGTTTTAGGAGCTTGTCCCTATCTCCACCCCAGGTGGCAAGGGTTTCACAGCCCCAGCTGGGACAGAAGTAATGTGAGGAATATGAACATTGGGGATTGACAGGGCCTGTTCCTGGACATAGGTCAAAGTCAGTAGATTGCAGGCTACACTCTGGGGACCAATACCTGCACCCTGATTTGGGTTGTTGGGTGCTTTGTGTAGGGAATCCTCAGCAAGGATGCACAGATCGATTTGGATAGCATGCTGGCTTAGATTCTAGCTGTAGCTGGGGTCCATGTAATCAGCTAGAACCGCCCCTGAGGTGCCATTTCAGACTTCCCAATAGTAGGATGCCCTAGATACAGATGCCAGGGACCAAATGAGATAAATAAGGGTTATAGATGTTAAGAAAGAGACCCCCCCCCCTTTAGTCTTATCTGGAGCGGGTTGCCAGTTGGCTGGGATGTCCATCTGGAGTCTGCTGCCTGGAGGTGGGGGTGACGGATCCGGGTGGAGAGGGGGTGGCCCTTGCCTGCCGTGGGTGTGGTTAGAATGATGGGGAAGGGCCCTTGCCAGGTGGGTTGTAGTCTGTCCTTCAGGTGAGTTTTAACCCACACCGAGTCCCCAGGCTGGAATGGGTGCACAGGGTCCGAGGAGGGTAGAGGGAGAACCTGGCGAACTTGTCCATGTCCTTGAGCCTGGGCATCCTGTAGGGTTTGGAGGAACTTAAGGAGAGGTGTTATGGATTTCAGCTAAGGGTTCCGCCTGTAACCGGGGAAGAAGAGGGGGTGTCCTTCCAAACATAATTTGGAAGGGGGTGAAACCCCCCTGTGAGGAGTCCATCTACCCTGCAGGAGAGCCAGGGGTCCAAGACTGGCCCAGTTTTCACCGGTCTCCAGAACAAGTCTAGTCAAGCTTTCTTTTCATTTCCCTTTTCCTTTAAACAAAACTGAAGAGCAGGCAGTGCAACCTTCCCTGTGGGGACGGGTCTGCGGTGGCCAGGAGGC